TATGAACCATCTATTTCGCTCTAAAAATAAGTGTTCACATATCCTTAAGATTTGTACATTTTTTTAGCTGTAAAATTTATAATCGGTATTGAAAATTGATTTTAGAGCTATCATGTAGAATTTTGATGCCCAAAGTGCCTTCAAGACAAAGATTCGAGGTGAAGCTTTATTTTACTTTCGTATAGCCTGGGCCTTATAGAAACTATGTCCATTAAAAATTGAATGAAATTTTTATAGGGCCTAGGTTTATGGAAAAAAAAATTAAGCCTCACTTTAAGTCCTCATCCAAAAGTACGTTCGGGTCCAGAAATCTCCATGATAGCTCTAAAATCAATTTCCAATATCGATAATAAAATTCGAAACTCATAAAATAGAATATATCTTACGGATCTATGAACACTTATTTTTAGAGTGAAATGGACCATTTATATAAAAACAATTGCTTCATGTAGGCTGGACCACAGTTCTACAATACGTGGTCCAGAAGTATAAAGCATCAATATTAATGATCGATGCCAATAGGTGGTCCATCCAAAAACAATTGTAACTAACGGTTCAAATGTTTTCTTAATATAATTATTATTTCTAGTTTTAAAAAAAAATTATTTATTTTTAATATTCATGATCTCTATGTTAAATATTATATATTCTCAAAAAATCAAGATCAAATTATATTTAAAATATATATTTATTGTCAAGCCTGCATGTCTACATGTACGGGCTTGTCTGCATGCTAATCAAGTCCGTCTAGATAATTTGTTACAACAACCATATTTGTAGAGCTCAAAATCCTTTTTTTATTTTTATTTTCTTTTCACAACTATAATATTCAAGACAAAATGATCCATATAAAGATTTTCTAATACTTAAATTACAACCTATTAACCATTTTCCTTATAAATCAGATACAGTAAGTCTGGCCAGGACTGAGTTAGTACCATGGCGTGCTCCCGCGGGATGAGCGCTATACGCGACTTTAGAGTTCTAGGGCATTAAACAGGCAGCTTTAATGAGGCGTGAGAGCAAGGAATAAGGGACGCGTGCGCACTTTACTTTGTCACCACGCATTCTTCCCATCCCTCTCAAGAAAATGACTCATCTTAACGCCACCCTGTTTCCCACTTGAGACAACAAATACGACCTTTGTTATGACAGAATGGGGACGCACTTTCGTTTTGCTCGGGAATTACAAATTCATCAAATTATAAAGGATGGGGTCGAAATGGGCCCCCTTTAAAATCTATTATTTCAGATATAATTGTTTTACGTAATTCTTTTTATGGATTCATCATCTAGACAAGGTGATCATGAATATAAAAATAAAAATAAGATTAAAATTTTAAATTTTAAATATATTTTTTTGGTATACCGTCTATATGGAATAAGCTGAGTATACGTTTTAGGGAAAATATCATATTATTTTTTATTTTTAACTTTTATATCTCATTAAATTTAATAATTAAAAATATTACTTATAAGCGAAAAAGATTATCTTTTTTATCTCCCAACCCCTTAAACCTTTTTTATCATGTACTATTGATATCAACAACTTATGAAATGAATTCATCTCTCTTCCTAAAACTCTCTCTCTCATATCATCGTCTGTCCCTCTCAAAACTTCATCTCTCTAAAACCCAAACTCCATCTCTCTTTCACATCATCGTCTCTCTTTAAAACTCAAACTCCATATCTCTCTCTAAAACCCAAACTCTATCTCTCTCTATCTCTCTAAAACTCCATCTCTCACACACATAAGAAGGTGTGTTTGTGCTCGTGTTGGAACTCAAACTAAACCCTTTGGTTGGTAAACTCACCGAAAAACGAAGAGAGAGATATGGAGTTTGAATAGAATATCATTTTAGTGTTTGTTTGGGTCAAAAATTTATAGTCAAAGAGGTCCAGAGGCTCTAAGATAAAAAAGATATAGACCTTTTATTTATAAATAATATTTTTAATTTTATAATATTTTTAATTTTTAGATCTCATGAGTTATGGAAGTTAAACATAAGGGATAAAAAGATATTTTGACAGTTAAAAATAAAAGATAAAAGGATATTTTCCTTACATTGTAAACAACCTCCATCGTAATGAAACGTTTGTAAGGTAGCATGCTCTTGCGGCTCACGCAACACTTTTCTAAGTATAAATCCTATTTAGTTAAAAATTAAAGAGAAGAGAAAATAATCCGGATCTTCAAAGGCATAGATGTCATTTTTTATTTTCATGTGAATTGCCGTACAGTATAGTAAATGCGGGCCATACACAAGCGGTGTATACGTCGCCATGCATATGGCTACTTTTGTGACGCAACTATTTTTAGCTGTCGCTCTATTTTTTGAGTCGTCCCACCCAATGGAGTATTTCGAAGAGGATAAGGTTTCTACGAGTCATGGGACTCATATGTGAAAATGAGTCCCTTCTTAAAAAAATTCTTTTTCTAAGATTATTTTGAACTTAAATTTTAAAGAATAAAAAATCTCTAAAATGGGTTTTTATTAAGGTAGTCCTACACATTTAATATTTTCTTAATGTACTTAATATTTTTGAACACTTGATACTCTTACCCATAATTTAATAGCTTTTTTATAGGGTTGTTTTAAAAAATAAATGAAATTAAAATAGAAATTCTCAATAGAAATAAAATATTTATTCACTATAGTGGATTATGACATCCTCTATATGAGGTATGAGATCACCCACATATATCATAATTGTTTTTAAACCACTAATAGAATACTACTAGTTTCATATAGAAATATCTATTTCACCATTCATCATCATCATCATTTTAGCATTTTCCCAATTAATTGGGGTATCCTTTATCTTTTTCAGTTATTCCACTTGAACTAACTTGCACCACTTAAAAGGTGTTGTACTTAGTCGGCTTCCCACATGACTAGCCTACTTAAGTCTATTATCTCTCATTTTAACGTCTATTGGTGTCACACTTATTTTGTTGAATATATTCATTTTGAATTCTATTATTTATTGTCTTGCCACTCCTCCATCTCAATATCATCATCTCCGATACACTCATTCTATAGGAATATTGTTTTTTATCCACCCAGCATGCTGCCCTATAGAGCAAAGCAGGTCTCACCGTTGTCCTATAGAACTTGTCATTCAGCCTTATTGGTACGTAACAATCACATAAAATTTCAGTTGCATATCTCCACTTCGCCCACCTAACTCTAATTCTGTGTGCGACATCTTCCTCGATCTCTCTATTTTCCTGAATCATCGACCCAAGATATCACAAGTGCGGTCATTTTTGTACTTTTTGGCCGTCAATCTTAACTACTTCATCGTCTCTACTCCTATTATTACTAAACTTACATTCCATATCTGTCTTAATCTAACTAATTTTAGAACTTTTGGATTCTAGAGCATCTATCCAAAGTTATAACTTTGTGTTGACATTGTTTTAAGTATCTCATCAATCAAAACTATGTCATTTGCGAACAACATGCACCACGGTAACTCATTTTGTAGGTGCCTAATTAAATCGTCCATAACTAAGACATAGATGTACGAGTTCAATGTTGAACCTTAATGTAGAGCTATTGTCATTGAAAGCTCATTCATTTTTCCACTAGTGACAAAATATGCACTGTTCGAAAAAATTTGTTTTACAAAATATGGGTAATGAGTATATAATGAATGTTTAGTATATTAGAAAAATACTCCATATATAAGAGTACCCTAATAGAACTCTTTAAAAATTTAAAATAATAATTTAAAGAGAAAATATTTAGATTATTTGTTCTAACTTTTGAAAGGGACTTCGCATCCATTTCAAGATGGTTATTTTATAGCTCTCGGGACACAAACGTAGCAATGCGTCCCCCATGCATCAACAATTTCCTTTTTGTACAAAGCCAATAATTAACTAGTGGTATAGAGGCGTTTAATTTTTGTACTCAGGTTAATTAAGGAATTATGAAATTCCATCTTTCTCAACCCTAAAACTAAGAAAGATATAGAGTTCTAAAAATATTCTATCTAGAAGGGAAAAGTTTATATAAAACCGAGGTTCTAAACAATCAAATTAGAGCCTATATAAAAAATTTCATAAAAAGTGGTTGTTTTGATGTCCAAATATCTGCAAATTGATCATCTCGACATCAAGATCCATGGACACGTGGAAAAAATAGATTTCAAGTTTTGGAAATAGTATATTTTATAACGTATTTGTTGACTGTCAATTTTCAAGATTTCATAGCTTTGTCGATATACACTATTTTTGAAGATTTAAACTTTATTAATAAAGATAAAAATAGATTTTAAGGCTATCACAAAGATTTCTAGTATTAAAATCATATTTCTTGACACTATTTGTAGGTGGCTCTAATTTGATTGTTTAGAGCCTAGACTCTACCTATAAAACCACATTTCTCGATGGTTTGTATAGAGCTCTATCTATAAAACCACATTTTTCAACGCTATTTTAGGGTACGGTTTGTATAGAGCCTAGGGTGTAAACAATCAAATTAGAGCCTATCTTCAAATAGTATCGAGAAATGCGAATTTAATATTAGAAATCTTTGTGATTAATGTTTCAAAAAATAGTGTTGATCGATAGAGTTATGAAAACTTGAAAATCTTGAATTTGACCATCCAAAAATGTATAACAAGATGTAGTAATTTCAAAACTTGAAATCCATTTTTTTTCTCCTATCCATACACTTTGAGGTCGATATGATGAATATGAGGATACTTGAGCATCAAAATAACCTCTTCTAGTGAAATTTTTGTGCGCTCTAATTGATTTGATTGTTTACAGCCTCGGCTCTATTACACTATATAAACTCTTTCCTTCAATAATCCCCTAGTGAGCCGAGAATAACGAAGCCGCATAAACAAAGGCAATCCCATGCGTAGCGGTCGGGCTGAGAATCTAGAGAGAGCAAAAGGCAGTTGAGGCCAGGTTAGAGAGAGAAGCATGAGCAGGCAAGCCAGCAAAGCAAGGGGATGAAAGCGTGGCAATTAGGCCAGAATTAGACAGAGATTAGCACATGGAAGCAAAACCAAGGTCTAGAGAGAGAAAGAGAGGCGACAAGACATTTTGGGATTTCAAAAGACCGTCGGAATACGTTACGGAGAGCAGGTCAAAGGGAACTGGAACGCAAAGAGTAGAGAGAGAAAGAGAGGCACGTGCCCCTCGTGCACGCGCTCTCTTTAGAGAGAGAGAGAGAGAGAGAGAGAACCAGCAAGACAAAAACCATACGTTTCCATCACTAACAGAGAGGGAGATCCCCTCTCCAGAAAGAGGAAGACTCACACAGGAACCGATAGAAATACACTACTGACATTAGAGAGAGAGAGAGATCCCAAGGCCATTCTAGAGAGAAAAAGAGATGAACGTCCACAACCGGTTGCCAAGCCTAGGGCACAGCACATCATCGCCGCGTGCTTCTCCCCTTAGGTCACCGGGTCTAAGGCATGGGAAAGGGAAGGGGCAGAGAAGCCTGGTTCAGAGGGTGACATTGGCCCTTCTTTCAGTTTTCTTGAGGAGACAGGGCGTATTCTTGTTCGCCCCATTGATTTACATATCAGGAATGCTTCTTTACATGGGGAGCGTCTCTTTCGATGTACCTCAAATCTCAGTGCGCCCACCTCCTGGCTCTATTTATAAAAGTCCTGAAGTGTTCAGGAATTTGTGGCCACAGATGAATGCTGATAATTCCTCTTCTGATGGGGTTAGTGATTGTAATTATTTGGGCTTTTGAACTCCAGTTTTGCTTCTTTCTTGCCTTTTTGTTTTTGTTTTTTTTTTTTGTGCATGATTCTCTGGTGGGATTTGTGTTTTTAGAATTGACTTGATAGGTTTCATTTTGTGGTATTATGGTATTTATTGATCTCATGGATCTTCATTTCTTTTGAAATGAATATTTATGGTCTCTTTTGGGTTTTCTTTCTTTTTATTTTTATCTGAAATGTTTCTTGCTTTGGTGCATTTGGGTCTGACAAATGGGGCACTGTCTAAGTTGAGCTGGTTCTATGAGTTTTTGGTTAATTTGGTAAAACACTTTCAGTTAATCCATGGCTGCTCCAGATTATGAATATTTCCTTCCATCATATGAATTGTGGTTTTCATTTTTTTTAGACCTATTTTTGATCTCGAGTGATATTGACCTGTAGCTCTGTCTTAAATTGGATAGTTGTTTGGTTCTCTATATCAACCCTGTGTAACCTTATTTAGCACCCTGCACAAAAAAAAAGATATATGCAGAAGAATTTTGTGGAGAAAGAATAAAAGAAACAAGAGAATCTTGCAGTGAATTCTTAGCCACTTAATAGCTCAAAGTGTTTGTATTGATTGATGAGATCAGTTGCAGAGTTATTCTTTTTGTTTTTTTAATATTGCGGAATCTTTATTTTTGAATGCATGAGCAGAACAGTGATGTCAATGACTCGGTTTGGTAACTGAATGTATGTTCACTTGTACACAAGCAGCAAGGATGGATGGATTGTTATTTACTACCCTAGGTCATATGAATTTGAATTTGAAGAGTGAAAAAAGAGTGGGCTGTTAAGTTCTCCGCGACTACCCCAGACTATCATGAATTTTGAATTTTTTTTCGTTTTGACAACTATTCATATCACTCATTTGAGCTAAAGATGGATAAATCAACTCGTGCTGATAGGTTCAGGAAAAGAAAACAAAAAAAGCAAAGTCTAATGAGTGTCTTTTGTAAAAGGTGTGCCAAGGGAGAAGAGTCGTACATAAACAGTTCATCATATTCCATTGCCACAAGAATAAGGTTGAATGTCAATTGTGGATGCAAAAGAACATGGTGTTTCATGTATCCATTATCCAATATTGTTCAGGGTGATGATGATTTGAAATTAAAAACATGTGCATTCATAACTGTTATGGTACCTCTGCTGGCTGCTTATTGATACATGCTTAGAGGGGTTGACTACCTTGTTTACTCTGTACAAGTTCATTATTTGGTCAATTGGAGGTACATGAGCATGCCCTAATGTTCGATGTCTCCTACTTGTAATAATAATGTTTGCAATCACCTATATGTAGCATAGGATGGGAGGTATATGGATTTTAAAGTTAGCTGCTAACTATTAGGTGGTCATTTAAATGCTGGCTACAGCCTGCTGGATGTTGAGGTCGGCTGATGACTGAACTATGCTTTTTGGCCTTTTATAAGGTTTTGTTGCATTAGCAAGGTCTGTACCTCTGCATTTACATTTTGTACAATTGTTTCTTCTAATATTTTTAGTAGATATTACGGGATTTGCAATTCGTGATTATAATCTATTGTTACACGCATGTATTGCCAGATTTAAATTTCATATGTCATAAAGGAAACATATATATTGCCATAAAGGGATGGGATTTCACATTATTTTTCACTTTGGTCTATTTCTTTTCACCTTACATTTGGTTGACAGGATCTATCATTTCATTGTGTATTGTGTTCAGACTCCTTTAGTACTATTGATGTTGTGAATGACAAGATGTATTTGCGGGAGTTAAATGGATCTTTCCAATTTTTTTGTAGCTGGCAAGTGTATGGAGACGCCCTTATAAAGGAGAAGAATGGAAACCTTGTATAAACAGAACGTTAGATGGAGGTATGGACAGTACTGAAAGCTTTGAAACTACAGGATTGATGGTTAATCATTCCCTCTTCATTTCTGTTTTATGATTGGGAGTCCTTAATTTTCTTGGTTGTTACTATATCTTAGTTTCAATAATCAGTGAAGCTGGTTATATCTCGACGATTCACTTACAAATGAACGAAAACATTTAAAGCACATAAACCTATTCAGATAATTGGCTTATAATTAAGGATGCTGAGAAATATGAGAGAATGCAGTTCAAATCAAGTGGTTAACTTTGCCTTAACAATTGGTAATGAAGAAATCAAGAATAGTATGCTCCTCTGATACTCTTAGGCACATCATGCCACTCCCATTAGATCAATCATCTGAACATTGTGTAGGGAATCTATCACGGATCATTGATTTTTCTTGTCTTCGACTTGTTTCTTTACCCAATTCATTATGCAATTCTAGAATCCTAAACCATTCTAGGGCATCCTCAAGGCCTACCCACTTAGGCACGCCATGCCACTCCATTAGATCAATCATCTGAACATTGTGTAAGGAATCTGTCACGGATCATTGATTTTTCTTGCCTTCTACTTGTTTTTTTACCCAATTCATTGTGCATTCTAGAATCCTAAAACATTCTAGGGCATCCTCAAGGCCTACCCACTGAGGCCCCTAGTTGGACTCCCTGACCATTGTCCTTGCTGTACTGGTGAACGTGCCCTAATATTGGCCTCCATAAGTCCCTTGCACATCTCAAAAGATTTAATACCATAAGTAACATCTAATTTTCAACATGATTTGATTAGGGTGAAATGCGAACCCCAAATAGTTAGGATAAAGCTCAGATGATAGGGCCGGAATTGGGGGCTTTTTACTTGGTACCTGCCTAATTTGGTTGTGGCTGAATGCTGGAGCTAAATGCCATCTAATTTTGCAACATTTATAGCTTTTGTTAAAAATTGTTGCATTATTTTTTGTCTTATTAAGCTTACATTGTATATTTTGGTGATGGCAACTGAGCTGTTGTAATTTTGTCTGCTTCAACTTTGTGAACATTGAAGAAGTGTGAATGTAACCTCTTAAAAAAAAAAAAAAATACAAAACATTGAAGTGTGATTTTTTTTAATGAATTGGCAGGGAAGAATAATAGGTTTTCTTTGTTAATGTGGCAGGTTTGCCAGATTCAAATGGTTATATTTATATCGAGGCAAATGGTGGTTTGAATCAGCAGCGAACATCAGTATTTATCTTTTCCTTCTCCAATCTTTTGTGCAGTGATTTTCTGAAAGAAAGAATGTTCCATGGATTAGATTTTGGAGTTACATTACTTCCTTTTGCTTGTTTGTACGGACGAGATTTTGGACTTACATTACTTCCTTTTACTTGTTTGTAGATCTGCAACGCTGTAGCAGTTGCTGGCTACCTAAATGCAACTCTAGTAATTCCAAATTTTCATTTCCATAGTGTCTGGCGAGATCCCAGGTGGATAATTTTTGCTGTGCCCCATGCTCCATTGACTCTCTGCTTACGATTTGCTATGTAATGTTATAAAAAACCTTAGGGTTAGTTGGGTGTTTATCGATATATATATATATATATATTTATATATCTATCATGCAATGGTTGTATAGTAATATAATGCAACAACCTTAAAAAACGATGTTAGTGCCCTTTGTTTTATACCGATTTTTAAATGTGTACTCTTTTCATTCCATTGAACAATCACAAAAAAACAAAATTTGAAAATGCACCCTAGAAAGTGTTATTTTAGCCCAATAAATATAAGCTGCCTATTTTGTTAAGGTGCTTAGATCTAGGCCTTAGAAGGATTTTTCTCTTTTCAAAATTTTTAGATAGCTTTGTTATCATTAGATGAACAATGTTGAAATAGAAAAAAAATGGTTTTGTGTTTGTAAAGTCGTAGATCTTTAAATTGTCCAAATGGATGGTCTAGATTTAATGTTGGAGGGGACTCATTTTAACTATATCTAAGATGCAAATTCAATTTTTTTTTTTTTTTTTTGAAAATTGACTATTGGGTTGAAGAGAGGGTATGTGCAATTTTTGGGGTGATACAAATGCTACAAAGATGGTTTTTTAGAAGTGTGGTTGCATTATATATAGGAAAACTCTTAAAAATGCCTATAGGCGATTTTGAACAGTGTTTCGCCCCGCCATGGACGTGTTAAGTCTGCGGCGGTTTATTGAATGGAGCCGCAACGAACGACTTGTGGTCTATGGCAGTTTTCGTGTGTTTTTTTACCACCACGGACATGGTATGTTCGTATCGCCACGGACATGCTAGTCCGTGGCGGTCTTTAATCCTCGCCGTCTGAAAAAATCGGACGGCGCTGAGCCTATGGGCGAAAATGCTGTTCATTGTCACCCATAGGCATTGCATTGTGGCTTCCATATATATATATATATATAAATATATATATATATGTAAAGCATATTGTCTTTAGTTTTTGTGGCTGCTTAGTATGAATATTATTTTGTCTTCCTTTTCTTGTTCATTTTTTGACTCTCTTTCTGCTTTATTTCAATACATGAGTTTAAAATTCAATTCACGTAAGAGACTATCTTTATTGATATTCTTTCTATAATGCTTTTGACTTGAACTGGGGGCCGATATTCTCAACATTGGTAGCCTTGGCTAACTGGTAGTTATACGATGTGCATTTGACATGAAAATACATGTTACTAAATTTTACTTATATATTGTATGCTTGGCATGCCTATTTTCTATGATATCCGAATGCCTTGATGTGGAAAGGTGCAGGAATTTATATTTTTTGTGACAATTATATACGTGGAATGCGGATCTGGTATAACATGATGTCAAAATGTGATTAGGCACTGTAAATCATTATCCATGTCCCATAAACTCAGTTCCAAATGATCACTGGGGCCCCATGGAGATGTCCCATACTCTTAAGTCATAGAATCTGAATCTGGCAATTCTACAATGTTTGTTACTTCAAACTTTTTTTTTTTTTTTTGATGTTTGTTGCTTCAAAATTAAAACTCTGAATTCCAAAGCATAAAGCAAAATGGCTAACTTCAATTCCCAAATTTTGATATGCTTTAAGAAAATAGTTAAAGGGTGTTTCTATAATGTTGCAATTTTAAACAATCCAATTAAGGCGCACCTTCAAATTTTATCATCACAATCAATTTTGGAGTAAAACGCTCTTAGGATTATCTCAAAATCTATTTTCATATCTAATTATAAAATTTTAAACATAAAAAATGATTAAAATCATATAAATCTATAAACATATGAAAATCTTGAAAATGGATGGTCTAGATAATGTGTTGCAAGATGCACTATTTTTGGGACTCAAAATCCTTTTTTTTTTTTTTCATATTCATACTTCTCAATGTCGAGATGATCAATTAGAAGGTTTTTCAACATTAAATCAGCCTTTTTCAATGGATTTTTGAGGTGCATATTTAATTCTACATTTTAAGGTTGGTTGCAACCTTATATAAACTTTTTCCATAGTTAAAATATGGGTAAATCAATTCTTTATCTAATGCTTAGGTTCATAGTTGAATCCCAAGTTTTTAGTGTCTAAATTTATTTCTATCATCATCTCTTGTAAATGAATTAATTAAAGTTTTGAATAGGATATACGAAGTACACAATTGCCTAGTCAATTAAGTATCACATTTTACATTCTGATTTCTCATGATATCATTTTTATTAACATTTCCAAGTCTACAGTATTTTGTCTTAATTTTTATATTTTGTAACTAGCTATTACTTGTTTTGTGCGATTTATATAATGCATCAACCTTAAACAATCAAAGTAAGGTGTTCCTCCAAACCGAGCTGGAAGATGCAATTTGGGTGCCGAAAACCGCTACAATGGTCTGAAAATCTATTTCCACACTTAATTATGAAATTTAAAGCTTAATAATAATGCAGATGAAGTAGATCAATGAACACTTGAAAATGGATGGTCCAGATAATGTGTTACAAGATGCAGTATTTTTGGAAATTGTAATCCTTTTTCCCACATCCATATTCTTGAGTTCGAGGTGATCAATTGGAGGGCTTTCGTGTGTTGGAACAATTTTTTTTTGGTGGGGTTTTCGAGGTTCATGTTACTATTATACTATAAGGTTGATGCCACTTTATACTCTCTCTCTCAAAAAAAAAAGGTTGATTCCTTTTATAAACTTTTTGTGGCTTTTTAGTCTTGAGATAACCACATTGGTATTCGTGCTACATTTTATTTTATTTGATTCTTAGGCGGTGTCTTTGTGCTCATGTCTATATTGAGTTTTTGGGGAAGGCTGTGCCATATACCCATATTGGTGCTGATACCTCTAAATCTCATTAACACGTTGATGTCTGCTTTTGTGATTGAGATTGCATTTGTTAGGACCAGTGATTTAAAAAACGGATCGGTGACCAGGATCGAGCATCGCAAAAATTGGTCCAAATCGGTGAATTGGCAGTTCGGATTGCCATTTTATTGCGTGGAATAAAATAGGGAACCGGTAAAAAAACACATGCAAAAATAGTGAACTGGCCAAAACTGAATTGGCTTTTTTCAGTGTAGTAAATAGGTGTTTTTACTGTAGCAAACACTGTTTTATTGTAGCAAATCACTCGTTCTTGTCTAGACCCGAACGACTTTCTATGTATTCACAAAATTGGCATGGGGTGACCGATTCTCAGGTCGGACGCAGCGATTCTGTGCCTACCTGGCGTTTTTTAAATCATTGATTAGGACCATTGGATATGATTGTTTTTTGCAGTATATCATAAGTTTTATTTTATTTCATTTTTTTAAATAATGGCTAGTTTTTTGTGTCCCTTGGTAGTATTTTAAGTGGAAGTGGATCTCCTTTGATCATTCATTCTGGTGATTGATTGATTTCTTGAATGGCATTTAATCCTGAGTGGTCTATATTCTAGTGTGGCTGGGGTAGACGCTGCTTTAGTTATCATGATGCAAAAGTCTCAAATTTTAGTGGGGGAGAGAGAAATAGAGACCAACATGCTATCTTTTGTATGGATACTAAGTTTTTATTTTTCTTGCCCCCCTCTTTTTTTGCAGTAAATTCAACGATATATATGATGAGGAGCATTTTATTAGTTCCTTGAAAGACAATGTGAGGGTTGTTAGCAAGCTTCCTGAATACATAATGGATCGATTTGATCACAATATGAGTAATGTTTATAATTTCAAAATTAAGGCTTGGTCATCGATTCAGTATTACAAGGCTGTGGTTCTCCCGAAGCTTCTTGAAGAGCAGTAAGTGAAACGTATCCTGTCATTTTTCATAAAGTAATAGTCAATTTCTGTGCTTCTGTGTGATCTACTTTCAACCATAAATGCATTGCATTTGTGAAGGATATCTTGGTTCTCCGTTTTTTTTCCTCCTTATTTTTATGTGTTTGGAAATGTGAGTTTTCACCATACGCATTACATATTCTACTTCTTTTCACCACATCCTACAGACTTGGAGTTGAGCATGCTTGGGCAAGAGTAATACTAGGATGAGTGGCCTCCTTGGAAGTCCTTGTTTTGTGCTGGATGCACTTATATTTTATTGTATGAGGCTCCAATTCCACAAAGTTTGTCCTGCATCTGGAGTGGGAAACATATGAATCCTTGGCTATGATAGCTTTAACAAATATAATTTATAAAAAACTTGACTGCTTTAGGTAGGTTGTTTCGTCTGTAACTGGGCACAATTTCCTTTTAACTGGATGCACTGGCAACATATTTTTTTATTGGTTGAAGGTTGATCCCATCTGAACTCCAAATTTAACCATGCTTGGACAAGAGCATTTTTAGGACGGCTGACGTTCTGGAAGCCTCGTGTCACTCCCCATTTTACCATAAGAAAACACACAGTGTCTGCGTTTGTGCGTGTGTGTGTGTGGTTGGTCCCCTACAAAGTTAAGGGAACTTTGTAGTTTGTATAAAAAGAGCAAAAGGGCCTGTAACCAAACATTGAATTAGGTACAAAATTTTGGGCAACTGCCCCTTTCTTGGCTAAGGCATCTGGTATTATTGCCTCCCTCTAACACATGCTTGAAAGTAACCTGCATAGAGCTTGCTATCACATCAATTTGGTTAAAAATATATTCTAACCTCTACGGACGGTGAGCTTCCTTGGAAGCCCTTGACATTACAACGTGAGAGTCTCCTCCTTATCAAGAGGAGGATCAGCAGTAACAATAGGACCTGATTAGGAGAGGTGAGTATTCAGCTGCCTATAAATGTATTTCATTGCCAGAGATTACAATTAGTACATGAAACCATTGTTGCTATAGTGCCAATCAATATGAATTCCATTGATAAACAACCTGGACTGTATTAATGACGCTAAATACACACTTCTATTTTTATATGGCACTCTAATTCCACAAGTTTGTTCTGCATCTTGAGTAGGAAACACATGAATCCTTGGCTACAATGGCCTCAATGATATAATATAATTTCCATTGATAAAGAACTGGACTGTTACTCAAGCATCTGTGGCACTTCGGCTGCACATAGTCATGTTATTCTGATTGCTGTATCTTGTTTTTGTAATTGATGCTGTTGATAGCTGTATCTTATTCTATTTGAAAACAAATTACTCTTTTGTTTAGACTTTAGAAACATCCATCTGGAGCATTCAACATGACAAAAATGGTTAGTTTCCTTTCTTAGTTGTTTTGGTAGTTAGCGTCTGTGTAACTGCTGAAAGCTTAGGTTTTTTATTACTGTTTGTCATACCTAACTCGACCTCTCCTCTGCTTTTGAATGATAGGGTCATAAGGATTTCTCCATTTGCAAATCGTCTGTCATTTGATGTCCAACCGCCTGTCCAACGATTCAGATGCTTGGCAAACTATGAGGCATTGAGGTTTTCAAATCCTATTGCTTCTATTGCTGACAAACTGGTTGAGCGGATGAAAGAACACAGTGCGAGTAATAATGGGGAATATGTTTCCGTCCATCTTCGCTTTGAAGAGGTTTTTTTTTCCCTTTCTCTACAATGTTCCATTCTCTCTATCTCTATATCTGTCTATATTTCTACACTGTTCTATTCACTGTAATAGCTGTGCCCTTCCATAGCTAATAATTGATAAATTCCTTCCTATTGTTTCGTGTGTGTAGGATATGGTAGCATTTTCTTGCTGTGTATTTGATGGTGGTGAGCAAGAGAAACTAGAAATGAATGCTGCGAGGGAAAGAGGTTGGAGGGGGAAATTCACTAGAGCTGGTCGTGTCATACGACCTGGAGCAATCAGGATCAATGGGAAATGCCCCTTAACCCCGTTGGAGGTTTGCCATCCCTTGTTTTTTGGAATCTCTGTGATTTTCTCTAGCTTCGTAATCTTGTTTTGGAGTACTTGTACCCCAAAAAAAAAAAAAGAAAATTTTTTTGAACTCTCTTTTGGGCTGGCATTTAACATTCTTTAAGTATTATTGCCCTTTCAATGCCTTAATAGATTGATGTTTTCCTTTTCCTTCCTTTGGCGCTTCTGTAAGTCCTTTTTATTCTTGATGAACTTCATGTAGTTTCTACCTTTATTAGGATGTGCTGCACTTAGCATTGTTGCAAAAGTTGGTACTAGGGCTAGCTTTTCCTCTTCTGGAGGTTCTCTGTTATTTTATTAATTCTTGAGTTATATTATGTTCTTGATTGAATTAGGTTGTGATGTAATGGGCTTTTTTTTTTTATTATTATTTTTTTATTTTTTATTTTTTATTTCATTTTATTCTTTTCTAGATCTTGATTTGGGGTTCTTTTGGGTTTTTTTTTTAGGGGTTAGTTTTGTCCTTTTTTGGTTATTATGGAGATTAGGGTTTCTAGGGAACAGGTTAGGTTTTAGGTTTGTTTTCTTCTATAAATATGTAGCTATTAGACCAGAAAAAAAGAGTGAAGAGAAGAGCTTGTTTTTGGATTTTGTGAAGAGCTCTTTTTGGGATGGACTTCCTTGCAACTCTTGAGAGGGGGTATAATATCTCATCTATTGTTTTTGTCTTTTATTTTTTCCAATTTATTTATTTCTTTCCCATCTTCCCTGCATCAATTGGTATCAGAGCGTGAGATCCACACACGGTGATACCATTACAAGCATCTACCAATCCAATTATGGAGCGTTTGGATTGAATGGAACAAATAATTGAGGGTCAAAGAAGACCTGATAAAAGTTATTGACAAAATATAAGGTCTACAAGATCTAGATTGGTAGAAGAACTTGAAAAGGTAAATCTCAATGCCAAAGATGTTGACAACAACCCAAAAGTACTAGAAGTATCACTAATCAATTATGAAGAAAAGAATACGTGTATTTCATCATGTGAAATGCTACCCTTTGAGATTGAAGGAGAAACCAAGATTAAGTTGGGAATTCTAAAGGTCCACTACTAGCTTGATGTGAAGTATTTGATCAATTATTTCATTGAGGAAGACAAGGTACCCGGGCAAATGGTGGAACCCATCATCAATTCTGAAATGGCTTCCAAAGGATATAATGAAGAACAATTGTTTCATGCGGGCTGGACCGCATTTCTACAATATGCGGTCTAGAGGTATAAAGCATCCATCATAAAGATGGGTGCAAATAGGTGATCCATCTGAAAACAATTGTAACTAACGGTCCAAATGTTTTCTTAATATAATTATTATTTCTAGTTTTCAAAATTTATTTATTTTTTCATATTCATGATCTCCATTTCAAAGATTATATATTCTCTAAAAATTGAGAGCAAATTATATTTAAAAATATATTTATTGCCAAGCTCACATTTCTACATGTGCGGGGCTAACTGCATCCTATAATGAATTCAAGAAGCTCAAAATCAAGCTTCTCCCAGCCGCAGGAGAATAATGTAATGGGGTTTTAATTTTTTTTCATTTTACTGATATCTAGATTTAGTTTTGGGGTTCTTTTGGGGTTTCTTGTTTCCTTTAGGGTTATTTTTGTCTGTTTTTTGTTGTAGAGATTTGAGGGGTAGAATTGAAAGTTTTTTTTTTGTTAAATGAAGGGTTAGGATTTGATTAGGGTTTCGTAGGGAAAAGTTAGGTTATAGGTTTCTTTTCTTCTTTAATTATGTAATTATGAGATCAGAATGCAGAGAATAAGAGTTTATTTTGGGTCTTATGAAGAAATTTTTTTGGGGTGGACTCCCTTGCAAGCCCTGAAAGAGGGTATAATCTCTCATCTTTTGTTTTTTACCTTTATTTTTTGATTTATTTATTTCTTTCCCATCGTCCCTACATCAGGTTGTTTCAGGATTTTACCGAAACTGAAATTTTGTTATTTGTGCACCGGAACTTACAATATAAATGCATCAATTCTTTAGGGTAAGTGGTTGGATTTTTCTTTATTTAATTATCTAAATATTGGCTTGCAGGTGGGACTAATGCTCAGAGGTATGGGTTTTGATAATAATACAGCGATTTTTTTGGCATCTGGAAGGATCTACAAGGCAGAAAACACTATGGCCCCCCTTCTCCAAATGTTTCCTCTTTTACAGACCAAAGAGACACTGGCCTCTGATGAAGAACTGGCCCCATTCAAGGTATACTAGTTTTTGGTGCAATTTATGTTTCTTCCATCTCTATCTTCATGTGTTTTCCTTTTAGTTCTAGGATTGGAATTTTCAGTGATTATAACTTAGATATTACTGCTTCTAGAACTACTCCTCCAGGATGGCTGCTATAGACTACACTGTTTGCCTCCATAGTGAAGTATTTGTTACAACACAAGGCGGAAACTTCCCTCATTTTCTAATGGGTCACAGGAGATTCTTATATGGTGGACATTCGAAGACAATCAGACCTGACAAACGAAAGTTGGTGCAGATATTTGGTAATCCAAATATTGGGTATGTGTTCAATTAATCCTCTTTAGTTGACTGCTGATTTACCTGAACTGAGAATGCTTGATCAAATTTCTTATCTTGGATTGCTTATCTACGACTTCAAACATTTATCTTCTGAAAAAAAATTTGTGCATAAAACCGTGTTTTTTTTTTTTTAAGCTTTTGTGTTCTTTTGTTGATCTTTCTTTAGTTGAGATGTGAGGCCTCAATGTATGAACACTAAATGGTTTACTTTATTTTTTCCTTGTATGCGTCTCCTTTTAATTCCTTTCTTTCTTTCTTTCTTTCTTTCTTATGAATATGGGTGAACATGCTAGTGTTGTTATATGTGGACAACGTTAGTTTTTGGGTAGGTTAGCTTAGTTTGCAAGAGGGAACGACTTCATCGATGAGCTTTGGCATGTATTATACAAAGCAAGTGTCATGACACTATCAAAGGCAACATAATGATGTTACTGGAAGCTGAAAGTGATCTGTCACCTGTCTGTTGAGAAAACTTCTTCACAAGATGTGCTGAAGTAAGACATTATTTCAGATGATCATATTCTCTTATTGTTATACTCTAACAAAATGTTTTCTGAATGATTCATGCATGCCGTTGTTTAGAAACAATATAGTAACGTCCTTTCATGCACAAAGCAGAGTTTATGGAAGACAAACTATTGATACGTGGAAATTAGGTGTCCATGTTACTCACATTTTGTAATCTATACTTGTCAAGCATACCTCCGGACATTTACATTGGTCTTGATGGTGCTTTGGATGACGGTTGCAAATATTAGGTTCCCCCCTAAGAATGGACTCTCTTAACTCATGCAATCACATATAGGGAAAGTCGTACGTGATCCTCATTGGACTGATGCAACATGATCCACAGAATACACTCTATTGTGACATTGGCTTCCTAGTGCAGATTCATTTTCATTTTAGTTGCTTTCCTCGTAGAGTGGCCATGTTACCTTTGTCTTCCTATATAATGAATGATTTGGTTAGTGGATTCTCTTTTGTCTTGTTTCCTGTTTTATGAGGTGAGGTCATCAACTAATAACCCATGGATCCATGACTTGAACCTGTGACCTGTGACATTGCTTTGCAGTGCACACTTTTTTGTCTTTCAATGCTTAGGAAAGGAAAAGAAAAGAAGTGTGAATATGAATGGGTTGATTCTGATGTATGTCTCACTATCTTAGATAATTTATTGCAAGTTGATTCGTGCAGTTTCTTTAAGTTTAAATTATGTTATAAATCAATTTCACTTAGTGTTCTCTTCACCTGCAAAATTTTAAATCATCTGAATTTGGGACTCCATTTCTGGTTATAGGTGGAAGAACTTTAAGCGGCAAATGCTAGTTATGAGATCCCACAGCGACGCCAAGGGCATGGAGATCAGAAGGCCAAATGACTCCATCTACACCTTCCCCTGTCCAGATTGCATGTGCAGGGCTAACAATTTGGATGATAGCCAACCTAAATCACTTTCATGAAACTATTTTTGACGAAGTTCTAATTATTCATCACCTTTGCTCCATGTGATCCTCGTTGGGGGAATTCGTCATGTATTTTATCAGCACATGCTTCACCATTCATTGTTTGAAATTTTGCCAATATCACAATTCTTTTGTTCTGACACTGCTAGAGTGCGGATGTAGAACCAATTTTTGGTGGAGCAAATTGCTCGGTTTTGAAGAGCACCAGAGAACCAACCCCCTTGTAAATGTTCAAATAGAAGAAGGAAGAGATTCGATTTTTTAGGACCGGCAATTGCACATACATACTGGGGTTTGACTTAAATACTTCGGCATTGTGATGTGAGAAACTCTACAATCTGTTGTGATTCTTCTTGGTCTTGCAGCCTCATTTTTTTGTACATGATTGATTTATCGTCATTCATGACTGTAAGAAAGGAATCCCAATTTAACTTTTGTAATCATTCAAATTCAATGGCAATTCTTTTGTGTGTATTTCCATAAGATGTCTTCTCTATTGCGTTGTCTCATGGATCAATTCTTTTCCTCCTCCCATCTTCCGTTTACTTTCATTTGGGATTTTTTGCTGAGGCCTCTTAATTGAGATTAATGGATTGGTTTACTCTTGATTTGATATTAATGAATGGGGATACTGATTAATTTTGAGAATTGTCTGGTTTCAATTGTAATGGCCTTTAATTTTTTGCCTTTAATTTTTTGCTTTTCAAATGTGCTGCCCTTCGATAACCGGTATCCTTTTTCGTTTTCTGTTCATTTTTGCCATTTCAGGTATAGAGGTATTTTGATAATATAGCTTTTTAATTTAGACCACTAGTGTCATTATCCAACGAAAATTTTTAAGAAATCTTTGAAGTCTATGTCCTGTTTTAACCACGGACAGACAAGGAAGTTCCCTTGATGGAGAGAATTCATGGGTGCCTTATATCAGTACCCCCATCCTCACCCTTGCAATTGCTCGAGGGTTTATGCTGCTTTTCCAAGATGCTCAATAAACCTCTCAGCTATTTCCAGAGCCAGAATTCACAAATCAAGTGTGACACCTCAAGAGATTCACCAAGAAATAGAGTTACTTGAATCTTTGCGGGTGTTGCAGAGAAAGAGCATGGCCGGTGGGCTTTCTGCTTATTCAGGTGAATTGGATCTTCTCCTTCAGTCTTGTGGAAACAAGAAAGACTTGGAAGCATGCAGAAAGGTTCATGAATTGATCCAATTGAGTGATTTGAATGGCAACGTCATGTTGAATACCAGGCTTATTAGTGTGTATTCCATATGTGGGAGCCCATTAGAAGCTCGCCATGTTTTTGATGTTCTCAAAGAAAAGAAATTGTTACAATGGAATTCACTGATTAGTGGGCACACAAGGAATGGCCTCTTTGAAGAATCGATAGCCATTTTCTCTGACTTACTTGGTGAAAACCTTCAACCTGATTGTTTCACCTTGCCTTGCGTCATCAAGGCTTGTGCTGGTCTTCTCTTATTAGGGGTCGGTCGAGGTGTCCATGGCTGTGCAGTGAAGACTGGTATGGAATCAGATAGTTTTGTGTGCAATGCTTTGATTTCTATGTACGGGAAATGTGGTCAAGTAGAAGATTGCGTAAAAGTGTTTGATAGAATAACTCACAGAAACATTATTTCATGGAACACGATGATCTCCTGTTTTGCCCAAAACATGTATGTGGAGGATTGTTTCAGAGCATTTGTAGCTATGCAAAAACTGGAGAACCTTCAGCCTGATGATGCCACCATGGCTAGTCTTCTTCCTCTCTGTGCTTCACAAATGGAGTTGGAAATGGGCAAGATGATACATGGGTTGGCTGCCAAGTTGGAGCTAGATATGATGGCGAAAGTAGCCAATGCATTGATGGATATGTATGCAAAGTGTGGGTGTCTTGTCAACTCTAGGACTTTGTTTGACAAGATGCATAAGAGGAATATTGTTTCTTGGAATACCATGATAGGTGAGTGTTCTAGGAAAGGCAATCTAGAGGAGGCTTTGGGCCTTCTTTTACAGATGCATGAGTTGGGGTTGAAGGCTGACTATATTACTATTTTGGCCATGTTGCCTATATGCGATGAGCCAAGGGAGTTGGCCAAATTGCAAGAAATCCATGCTTATGCCATTAGAAATGGCCATCAATCTGATGATTTAGTGGGGAATGCACTCATTGCTGCCTATGCAAAATGTGGTGCTATGGATTGTGCTGATATTTTGTTCAAGGGGATGGGTTTCAAAACGGTGTGTTCTTGGAATGCTCTCATAGGTGGGTATGCGCAGAATGGGGATGCAAATAAGGCAACACAACTCTTCCATCGCATGGGTTCTTCAGGCTTGGAACCTGACAGTTTTAGCATAGGGAGCATCCTTCTGGCTAGTGCCCACCTTGCATCGCTGAGAAATGGCAAAGAAATCCATGGCTGTTTGTTAAGAAGAGGGCTTGAAAATGATTCTTTCATCTCAATTTCACTCCTCTCTTTGTATGTCAAGTGCCAAGAACCAACGGCTGCTCAGCTGGTTTTCGATGCTATGGGAGAAAGAAATCTGGTTTCTTGGAATGCCATGATCACTGGATATTCTCAAAATGGGCTCCCAAATCAGGCCATGGATGCCTTTCGCAAGATGCATGAGGAAGGCATTCAAGCACGTGAGATAGCCACTATGAGTGCCCTTGCATCTTGTGCACAATTGGCTTCTCTTAGACATGGCAAAGAGATCCATTGCAATGCATTAAAGAGGAACATCAGTGATGACGTATATGTGGGAAGTACTATCGTAGACATGTATGCAAAATGTGGTTGCATAAATAAATCCCGAATTTTCTTCGATAGAATGCCAAATAGAGATATTGTCTCATGGACTGTTATGATTGCTGGTTATGCAATTCATGGGTATGGAAGAGAGGCTCTCTCTCTCATTCACGAAATGGAATTATTAGGAGTGAGACCTGATGTCCTCACATACATTGGAGTCTTGATGGCATGTAGCCATGCCGGCTTGGTCAAAGAGGCCTTGCATTACTTTGAAGAGATGCAAAAGAAGTATGATATCAAACCATCGATTCAGCACTACGCAATTATGGTCGACATGTTTGGGCGTTTGGGCCATCTGAGCAAAGCTAAAAAGCTCATTGAGGAAATGCCTATTGTACCTGATGCCGGGATATGGGGTGCTTTGTTGGGTGCGTGTATAATTCATCAAAACATAGAATTGGGGGAGAAAGCAGCTGAAAAACTTTTAGAATTGGAGGCAAATAATGCTACCAATTATGTAGCATTATCGAATATTTATGCAAGGTCAGGAAGATGGGAAGAAGTGGGGAGAGTGAGAGCCAAGATGAAGGAGATGGAGTTAAGGAAGGAGCCTGGGTGTAGTTGGATTGAGGTTGGGGGCCAAGTTCATGGGTTTTTTGCAGGGGATTGTAGGCACCCTCTTCAATGAAACCTACAAAACAATTGAGGGTTTTAGAGGAGATTGAGGTCAAAGGCCATCGAAAGGGCAAATGCTTGCTTTTGCATGGTTTAGAGGAGAAGGTGAAGGCTAAAAGGTTTTGTAAACGTAAAAAAGCTTGGTTTTGCATCACTTTAGAGAAGATTCAGGGGGTTATGGCTATGTAATGGACCAAAGCTTGGTTGTGCTGACTTTATTTATAGATGACCAAGGGGTAAAAGTCTCTGTAATCGAACACAAGCTTGGTTTTGAGACAATGAGAGACGTAGGCACAGTTGAGACTGACAAGGATCTGGGAATTTGCAGGCGGATTGTCACAGTGCGGCCAAGCTGGTTTCCAACTTTTCATGGGAGAATTTATAGCGAGGCACTAATGGTGAAATTCATCACCATCTATTAAATTTGGATGAATGTCATGCTAATTGGTTATGTCTATTTATTAAACTACTGTCAAATAAAGCTGATATAGGGCCACATGCCATGTTATAAGTACGTCCCGGTGAATTATTTTAAGAGAGAGAGACTCTGTTTGTATTTGTGGGGTGAAGTGTTGATGTTTTGCAGAGGCCGATGTGAGAGAGAGGTCTCTCTCTTTCTCTCTCTAAGGAAGTGGTTAGGTGAGTGCAAAACTTTGCAGTGTCGGTCAGAGAGAGACTAACAAAGTGACTTGGGTCATGGGTGTGTACAAAACTGTGCAGACTGGGTCTTGGCCCTTTCCTAAACCAGACCTTGGAGAGAGAGAGCTACAAAATTGTACAGTCAGTGGTTTTTGGCGTTTTGCTAAATTTATAAAGATATTTTAGCAAGACAATGGGGGCGGGTAATCGAGACCTGAAGCGGCACTCACTTGGTGACCGCGCATCGTGGTAAAAGCCTGCCTCCAAAGTTCTGAACATGTGAACCGAATATTTTCTTCAGAGCCTCGGGCCTGCAAAAACACCTCACTTTTGTACGTATGTTTATTAAACTTTGCAGTATGCACCACTAAAGAGAAGAAAGAGACGAACTCTCTACTCAGTCTCTCTGTCTCGTGCTATGTCTCTCTCTCTTCTGTTTCTCTCTCATCAGCATGATGATGGTTAAACGAGTCTTTTTGACTGCTTGCTCTGCCAGGCTTTCTTGTCACACTTTCGCTACCCCCGAGGTGAGTATAAACGCCATTAGACCTCCCCTAATATCGAGCTGCCCTCTTCTTTATTTGAAACCCCCTTTTTCTGTTCCTCCTGCTTCACCTTCTCTATATATCCCCACTCATCCTCTCTCTGTATTAGTTTTTCAGCAGTGGGTAGATGAAAATGCAGATCTCTCACTGCCTCCTCCCACTACTCTTTCTCGCCTGCCTTCTTGGTAAGTTGGTAAACCATGTGAAACCTCTATGTCATAAAGCTTTTCAATGTCATGGGTTTTTATGGTGGTACATTTCAATGTGCTTTCTTGTTTCAACAAAATCATGAAGTTTTCAGGGCCCTCTTCTATCTCTGTTATTCACACCACAAGAAAATAGATGTGGCCGCGCAATCGGCTGGCGAGAAAACGGATGCCTGGCCATTGCTGATTTCTATGCTGTAGTCCATTATAATGCCTTCTGTCCTTCCATGAGAGAAAATGCTTTCCATGCCTTCTTCTCTCTCCATTACTTCCACTAACTTTTAAAGTCGGGCAGCATACTGCTTTCTTCTCTCCTATGAAAAGTCACAACACTTCTCTATGCCTTCTCCCTCTAATCTCAACTACATTTTCGAGCACTTTAATATATTATTCTTTCTACCATGAATGTGAAAAGTCTTTGTTTTTATACAATGGGATGCAGGGCAAGCATGGGGGACTACATTCACATTACACAACCGTTGCCCATACACAGTCTGGCCTGGCATCCAGCCTAGTGCAGGCCAATCCATTCTCGCAAATGGTGGCCTCCGCCTCCTCCCAAACCAAATCTTCTCTCTCAAAGCGCCATCTGGATGGTCTGGCCGCTTTTGGGGGCGCCAAGATTGTGTTTTCGATCACTCGGGCAAGGGCCATTGCGCAACCGGTGACTGTGGTGGCCTCTATTGCAATGGCCTTGGTGGTGCACCTCCTGCTACTCTGGCTGAGATAACACTAGGAGAACAAGATTTCTATGATGTTTCTTTGGTTGATGGTTACAATCTTGGAATCTCTATAATGCCAGTTAGGGGTTCCGGGAAGTGTAGCTATGCTGGTTGTGTTAGTGATTTGAATGGGGTGTGTCCATTAGGATTACAGGTGAGGTCGGCGCATGATAATAGGGTGGTAGCTTGTAAGAGTGCATGTTTTGCATTTAAATCGCCACGGTATTGTTGCACCGGGAGCTTTGGGAATCCTCAGGCGTGCAAGCCAACTGCTTATTCAAGATTGTTCAAGACTGCATGCCCGAGGGCTTACTCGTATGCATACGATGATCCGACGAGTATTGTCACTTGCAAGGGGGCCAGTTATGTTGTCGCCTTCTGCCCATAGATGAATGCCTCTCTCTCTCTCTCTCTGAGATAAACTAATGTTAACTATTATTAGTATTAAGTAGTGTTTTGTGTCTTAAAGTGATACTTATTCAGTTCTTATGCTTACAGTAATATAGGTTTTTGGGAGTTTTCTCGTTGATTTTGGAGACCAGGGTTATGTAATCCCTTGTTACTGTAATCCAAGATGCTTTTGCATCGTCTGCCCTTTTAAAGTGTAATGGTGTCGATTTCGACTGTTATCCCTAGTATACTGCCCAATATATGTTCAACCATTTTGCACTCACAGTTCTACTCATTTACTTTCATCGGTTGCTTTGGGGTGGTCTTTTATTTCTTCTTTAAATCATTTTTTCTTTTCCGGATGATCATTTCTTCCACTTTATGCAAATTAGTTTACAAAATATCATTTTTGGTTCGGTTGATTTCCCTAAAGAGAATGGCTTCCCACCCATTTTGATAGTTAGAGATATAAAAGCGATAGGACTCAAGTCCATTGCCCAATTATTTCTCATGTTGCAACCGTGAGGTTATTGCCTGGACTCGGGCCCATAGGGCCATACTAAAAAGATACGAAGAAATATAAAAATGAGAAAACGGAGCCCTAGGCTGGGCTAAAAAGGGCCGCACTAGCCCTATCCCCAGCGCGGCACTTGCGCCACAATAAATAAATTAAATTGTAACCGGAAGCTTGACCGGGATTGCGGGTTGCTCATACATAAATCTTGAATCCCAAACCTTTATAGCCACCATTTTTGTGACCACCTTTTTTGAACGGTAGATGGTCTCTCCTAAGTCATTACCAATATTAATAAAAAAGGAGTTAGCGACAAATAGATCATTTCTCCTCTTTGGGTAGACCATTTATCTTCTTTGGATTATGACAAGGAGCTCATTTTAATTGCATTTAACAAGTTTTAGATGGGATTTTTTATTTTTTATTTTGTTGTTAGGAGGGGTACGAACTTATGAATATCCCATGTATGAATATCCCATGTGGAGGATGTCTATCAAAAATATCTTATGAATATTCTATTTGAATGATGTCATCAAAAACTAGTTATATAAATGTTCAAAATTTATTGAGTGTAATTATAAAATGTAAAATAAATATATAAATATCAAAAATTTATTGAACGTAATTATAAAATGTTGTGAGCACTCTAAAGTAACCCTTAAGGTCCTGCTTTCCTCTGTCCCTCGCTCTAAAAACCCTTTTTAATTACCTGTCCCTCGCTCTAAAAACCCTCCTTGACTACCAATCTATATATCTATCAAAATAATAATAATACTTAATAAATAAATAATTTGGAGCCTCTCTACCAAAAACTCTTTTCTCTCTCTAGAAACCCATACCTATCCCTCTATCTAACACCCAAAAAATAAAAAATCCGTACCCTCTTTCCAAACCTCTTTTCTCTCTCTAAAAAACCCACCCTGACCTGTACTCACTCAAACCTCTCTCTTCCCTCTTCAAAAATATCCTCCCACCTCTCTCTCTCTCCTTTTTCCTTTTAGTTTCTTTGAGAAAAAACCAGAATAATTTTAGCGGAAATAAAGGAGCAAGAAAGTAAAAGAATGGGGTTTTGAGTTTTCATTTCAATCTTTTGGTATTTGTATTTTAATGAGCTTGTGAATTCAGATGTCTCTTTTTCTCTGTCTAGAATTTTCCTTCCAATCTTTTTGTTATCAATAGTTCATTTGCATATTTTTGTAAGCCTTTGAATTCTGAGCTGAATCTCTCTTACCCCATCCACAAACCATAGCAAAAATTAAAGAAAACACCAAAAACTGCTCAAGTTTTTTGAGACATTTAAAAATTCTCCGGTAACAAGCAATTACAATTGCCATTGACAACGATCGTCATCAATAACAGCTGCATTTTAAGAAGAAACAAATGAGAAGAAATCAACAAGTAAGCATAGATATAGGAGTTGAGACGTGTCAATCATCAAAAGTAAACAAGAGAACTCTTTTCTCTCTATGTAAAACTATTATCTATCCATTCAACCAAAATCTATCCTCTAATCAGTGTACGTGCTTCCTTTTCATTAACTTACAACTTATTTTCTTAAATTCCTGATAAAAATCAGAAATCCACTACTTAAACATTAATCCAAATACTTGGTTTTCATGTCAAGTAAACCATGTCCTTATCCAAAAAATAAGCAAAGATTTATACGCCCTTTTAAAATGAACTAGACATCCAACCCGTCAATACTTTTCATATTACACTCCTAACTCAATTACTATTTTTCTTTGCTTAAAAAAAAAGTATCTGTTTATGGATCATGCCCGTGCTAGTGGGCAATGGCAAGAAAACGAGGTTTTGGTAGTTAAAATGGGTTGGAAACGGTCTCCAAAAGCACAACTACCTATATTGAGTTGCATCACAAGTCTTCAAAATAAGGGTGCCATTTATATAAAGCCTAGGCACTAAACAATCAAATGAGAGCTTACCTTCAAATAGTGTTGAGAAATGCGGTTTTACTATTGGAAATATTTGTTGTAGCCTAAAAATATATTTTCATATTCATTTATAAAGTTTAAAGCTTCAAAAATAGTATAGATCGGCAGATCTATGAAAACTTGAAAATCTTGAAATTGACGTTCCAAAGACTTGTTACAAAATACATTATTTTCAAAACTTGAAATCCATGTTTTTTCTCATGTTCATATATCTTGATGTCGATCTGATCGATTTAAAGATATTTGGGTATCAAAACAACCTCTTCTAATAAAATTTTTGAGGTATGCTCAAATTTGATTGTTTAGAGCCTCGGCTCTATATAAACTTTTCCCTCAAAATAAAAGAGATGGTGAAGTGGGCATTGCATGATGCGACAGAGTTTTAAGTATACTAGGTAGTCGGATGAAGTGGTGGAGCAATACTGGGTGCAAGGTTTGTGTAGAGCCTAAGCTCTAAACAATCAAATTAAAGCCTACCTTCACATAGTATCGAGAAATATGGTTTCAATACTGGAAATCTTTGTAGTAGCCTTAAAATATGTTTTCACCTTTACTTATAAAGTTTAAAGCTGAAAAAATAGTGTAGATCAACAAATTTATGAAAACTCGAAAATCTTAAAAATTAACGGTCTAAAAATGCATTACAAAATACACTATTTTAAAAACTTGAAATCCATTTTTTTCTCATGTCCATGCATCTTGGTGTTGAGATGATCAATTTGAGGATATTTGGACATCAAAACAACCTCTTCTAGTAAAATTTTTAAGTAGGTTCTAATTTAATTGTTTAGAGCCTCGACTCTATATAAACTTTTCCCCTACTAAGGTTCTAAGTTAGTGTGTTAAACCCAGCTCCAAAGGTGTGTTCACAATAAGTTGTGTGTAGCTTGCTATTAAATGATAGAAGAAGACGGAGGGAGCCAAATTTGGTTAAATTATGGAGGGTACCAGCTCCAAGTGAAGTGATTTTTATAGCTGTTGTGGTTAAGGAAACTGTTGACAATTGACATGCTTACTGAGAGAGGAAAAATTATTATCAAATATAAGTATCTTTGGTCTTTTACGGGGAAAAATTATTATCAAATATAAGTATCTTTGGTTTTTTACAGGGACTCAATGTCCATTCAACATATGAAAATGTTGACTCGTATTTTATAGACAAATGATAGATGACAATAATAGAAAATAAATTATATATTATACCCAGATTTACTATAAATATAAGATATTGTATCTACCATTCTCAAATATACATATTATAATATGCTCCTTCTACATTAACACGATAAACATTAGAGTCAGGTATTCTTCACATGGTATTAGAGCTAGGTTCATATTTGGAATGTCCATCCCTTGTCCCTGAAGCAGTATTGCTGATTTTCAAGACGAGTTTGTTTTTCAGTTATTCTTTTATCCTATCCATCCGATTGAGCCATGAAATCGTTGGATGTTCTGGTTGGGTTTTTCTAATCGACTCCTCAATCCTATCCATCCAATTGAGCCATGAAATGGTTGGGTTTTTCTAATCGACTCCAAAATCCTTTCCTTCCGATTGAGCCATGAAACCGTCGGATCTTCTGATTGTGTTTTTCTGATCGTTCACGTACCCTCTATTGTCTTTCTCTCGCCGTTGCCTGTGCTGCAATTAGTTTATTGTCCCCCAAAACCAAAAAGAAGTCGTTGTGCGTGCAAACCTTTGCCCTCTTTGCTTCTTCATCAGTTTCAACATCTTTTTACTCTATCAGGTTTGGGTGGATCCGCAAAAACATATGAAGGATCTTAGTATTCAGATTGAATTTGGGCCGATTTGACGATCACAGAAGTCCAATGGTATTTGAATTTGGATTTTTTTGTTTTACAAATCCAATTCACTTGTAATTTTAAGAGTGTGTTTATAAAAAATAGTTGAATCTTAAAAAAAATTCAAAAAAAAATATTTTATATGAAAGAAATTGACCAAAATATAATTGAAAAATTTAAGAGGTATTTTGGTCACTTTTTTTTTTGCGAATAATTTTTTTATATTTTTATTAAGTGCGCCTTGATGAGAAAAACACACGACTAAAATTTCAAGTAATTTTAATTTATAGAAAAAAAAATTAAAATTCAAACATGAAATGAGGTCGTGACCGTCAGATCGGCTCAGATTCAATCTAGGCCATTGGGCTCATATATTCATATGAGTTAGTGGGCTAATCCCAGTTTTTTTTTTTATATATATATATATATATATATATATATATGTGGAGTCACTGCATTACGCCCATATGCGAATGGCCCAGATTGAGTCTGGGCCATTCTTTAACGGATCTGACGCTCACGGATATCTGATAGTGTTTGAATTTTAATTTTTTCTACAAATCCAAACACTTGAAAAAATTTTAGACGTGTGTTTTCTCATCAAGAAGCACCTAAAAAAAATATAAGAACAATAATTCGTAAAAAACAAATTGACAAAAATACCCGCCCAAAACATTTCGGGGGTATTTTGGTCAATATATTTTTTGTAAAAGTTTTTTTTTGATATTTTTTGTATATTTTTCTATTTTTGAATAACACACGCCTAAAATTTCAAGTGATTTGGATGTGTACAAAAAAAATTAAAATTCAAATACTATTGGACATCCGTGATCATCAGATTGACCCAGATTCAATATGGGCCGTGGGCATTTACTGTAGCAATATGCACCTGGACGCACAAGATTTTTTCCCTTATATATATATATATATATATATATATAACAACGCCTCAAAAAACATGATTTCAAGTTAGAATCACTTGTGAACCATTTTTTTACTTCCATTGCCTACATATTG